CTTGCGGTTGCCGTTGCAGCCACAAATTGACTTGGTTCAGCTTTGGAAAGTTCCCTCCCATTGACAAGATCGAGTCAAACGCCTTTTCCGTCTTCTCGCGGGAATATCGTTCAATAGTAGCCATGGAGCCAAGCACCCATCGGCACATGTCAGAAATTCTCTTTCTCGTTGCTTATTCTCTTCGGCTTCTTTCTCCTCCCGCGGCCGTAATGAATCGCGATAGGTGGTCTCGTGGCTCACGACACCCGCCACACGATTGAGTGCAGTACTATCGACAGACATTAGGTTGGACGCTAGTTCGACCCAGGGGACATCGTCTCGCCCTGTCCGAAGATCTCGTTCGCCGCCATGCGATCGAGGCTGTCACGCCAAAATCCCCCGTCCCTTGCTATTAGGTGACTACTGCAGCTGTTCAGTCATGTCTCACAACCGTCCGGCGCATACAGATAGTCTGGAGAGAAGACAGTGCTTGCGCCCTCCCTCTTCTGCCCCTTTAGTTTGAGCGCTTGACTTTGACAAAGCAATGTTGCGAAACTACCTTAGTACAGTCCAGTGCTGTAGCTGCCAATTAATTTGCTGTGCATAGCACGTTGCAGAAGTTGGGTTGGCAGACGACATCAAGTATCCTGTACCTGAGCCTTTTTGCCAAGCCTCTCTCGTCCGTTTTCCAGGTACCGATACCTATGTACCTCGCATCAGGACCCATGCGACTTGCGCCTGTCTACGCCGTCCCTGCGTGTTTCTTCGTATTTTCTTTGCAAAGTACGAAGTCACTCTCTTGGACCCCCGACACTTAACTTCTCGTTACCTTCTGGGCCTTCGTATCTGCCAGCCGATGCTTAGAAAGTGCTGACTGAATCTTAGTGCCTTGCTTGTTGTCAGCCGTTGGATCTTGTACGGGGCTTTTGGAATGTGATGATCGATACATCCCCTGTCTATCACTAAGAGCTTTTGACGAAGCTACAAGGCTAGCAAGTAGTTAGGATAGCCGTAAAGGCCTGATCTTTTTTACAAGGTGACGGGGGTAGCAATTACGGTCAGTTACCGTATTTTGGTCTATGGCCAGTCCTTCTGCTTCTTCTTTCTTCAATCTTTGAGTCCCCAGAGGCACTGTTTACAATCCTGGGCTTCCATCAGGAACATGGCATGCATGGGTAGGGTTATTTCCGAACCAAGTTTTCGTCTCCTCCTAACGTCGATCCAACCTCGACATGGAAATGAGCGTCATCATTACACGAGCTATTCAGGCTCAACCATTACCGAATTGAAGCTCTATGTCGATCAACTGCATTTCAGGATTTTCTTTCCATCACACAGGTCAGGCCGGCTCAGCTTAGCCTTCATGAGAGTTGAAGTTACATCTTCGACGTCACAAAATCAACTTGTCATACATCGCCGTGGCATGGTCGGCAAGTTTGTCCAGTCTATCGCGGAACATGCCTTGCTACGTATATACTGTGCTCTAGCACTCCCGCAGCACGACCGTTGCAACGTGGAGCTTGGGCCTGATGAACGTTGCGAATCAGGGACCAGAGGGTTCTTTTTTACTTCACCCGAACTTCAGATTGGCCAATGAAATTACAGTTGGGTCAGTGATCCTGAATCGTGTGGCATCTCTGCATCCTAACGGCTGAGAAACCTCAAGAAGATCCCAGAGAGATCGTCTTTCAAGCTCGTGACATCCCAACAGTCCCATCTTGCAATGCAGCAGAGGGTGGGATCCTTGTCTAACAATGATGAATCTTAGCGCTCCCGGCGCCCGCCACGGAAACAAAGGGCGGCCCATCCCTCCGTAACCTTAGCAATTTACTTGGGGTTTCCTTGTCCAAGAAAGTTTTCCGCAAGGCACCATGCATGGCTTGACATGCATGAAGCGGACTTCTGAAGGCTTCTTTTTGCTCATCGCCAATAGCCGTGAGATGTTTGTGTCACACAACAAGATATATGTCGCTTCCCGTTGCCTATTCCAATAGGTTTCTGGCCAATTTCCGAGCCAAGGCCTATTCGCGGTCCATGCCAGCGAGTCAATGAGTCCTTGAATCAGTAAACGGGGTTGACCTCTTCGGCAGAAGCGAAGGTTATGGTTTGCTCCTTTGTCAGAGTCGATCGGAGCAGAGCTACCCAGCGTTTCGATGCCCCTGAGCCCTTGTTTCATTGGGGAGTATTGGTTCTGGGGACTAGGCTTCCAGCCAATCGATCTCATGTTTCAATAACGTAGAGCTTTTGCTTTTTTACTCAGACTTCTGATCTTCTTTCCCCCCTGGACAAGCAGACAGGCTAGAGTAAGAGGATGGTGGTTTCGTTTCAGGGGCGCCACTTTGATTGATCAAAAAGCAATGAAACGTTCTGGGGCTGGCTCGGGCGTGCTGGCGTACCGCCACGTGGATGAGATATTGTACGCAGAAGTTGTGGTTGGAACTGACAACGTGGGACGAAGAGTTCTGAGAAACTGGCTTGCAAACACATTCCCTTGGAAGAGTTTGACCAACAGCCTGAGTCGGGTTCCTTTCACTGAGTCACCGTATGAGGTAATATCAACTATACTGAGCGACTATTCACTGCGTGCCGCAGAGACTAGATGTCACGGCAATTTTCTTCACTGTGCTTGCATCTGCTGCGGTACCAAGCCACGCGAGTTGAGTGATTATTTCACAGGTTGCAAATGCACAAAGACGAGTTGACGGCTGCAAGTGAGACGAACAAGTGCAGAATAGTCAAGGATCACCGGTCGATGCTCGCCAATGATATGTTAGTGACCATCTGGACTATATTTAGTGATACAAGCGAACGTCACTGATATGTGGAACATGTCAGTGCTTCTTCCGGCAGCATTCTCTAGGCTTCGACAGTATTATTTTAAGATCAGATAGTGGCTTGAAGCTCAGAGTTAGTCCGAGTACCAGAACTTTTTGAAAGTCAAGATGGCCTTCATTGAGTGGTCCCTGAGTTATCTCTTTCATCGATATATCAAACGAGATCAGTCGCAGGATTTAAAGATAAACTCTTTAAATACCAGAGACGAAATTAAACTTGACCAATAATAAATACATCGTTTATCGAAGACATCTATCGTATTTGTCTGAGGCCACTGTTTAAGATCTGCACAAATATCCGTTGATTGAAACATTACTTACACAACTAAGAGTTGGGCTGCGATATATCGTCACGTGATGTACCTTCTCCATGTTTCCACGGCAACACGTATATGGTGTTTATCATTTTCAGTAATCGCGACAAACTAATTAAGCCAAGCGCCGCCAAAGAAGAGAATACGATTTTGACCAGATAAAACACAACCGCGACCATGGCGTACAATCCGCGAATGAGCATTATTCCAACCTCGCAGCAGCAATCGCGCACTCGAAAGAAGGAGGAAGAGGCTGATGCTTTTATGCGTCTCCCTGACCGCGAAATCGTTGGCTGCATCACCGACATCGGCATCAACTTCACCGTCGCGGACCTTCAAAAGCCAAATGCAGCACATGTTCAGCAAATCTTCGAATGGTTCGCCGAACTCCTTCTCAATGCGACGCGTGAGACTGTTGAGCCGGCCATGCGAGCTGCCGCCGAGGATATTGTTGGAGAATACTCGGATGTCATTCCTCCGGACACTCGCAACCTGATGGGCTTTTATGTGTCACTGCGCAGGCTATTGTTTGAGTGCGGCATCACCGATTTCAGCTTTAATGACTTGTATAAGCCGACATATGACCGCCTCGTTAAGATTTTCAGTTACCTAATCAACTTTGTTCGATTCCGCGAGTCACAAACGGCTGTTATCGACCAGTACTATAACAAGGCAGAGTCGACAAAGACACGCATTGAGACGCTCTATGCCGAGAACCAGGAGAATGAGGGTCGTCTGGAAGATATGAAACACAACCGCAATGCCATGGAGGCGCAAGTCCGAGAAAAGACGATGAGGAACGAAGAGCTCAAGAAGAGACTGCTAGAGCTTCGACGGAACCAGGAAAGGGTTGCTGCGCGACTCGAAGAGGCCAAGCAAAAGAAGGGCGAGCTCACTGCAGTGTTGGAACAAAAGACCCACGAAAAGGTTACGTTGAAACAGGAAAGCACAAAGCTGCGACCTTATGTGCTCCAGAGCGCCTCAGATCTTCAGGAGAACTTGGCCGAGCTGCGTGAAATTCTCAACAACGATAAATCACACATCGACGCATTGGACCGAAGAGCACGAGCCCTACAGACCTCCACGGATTCATTCTCGGTCGTGTCAACGGATGTTGCATCATGCATAAAGATCCTCGATGAGATTGCTGCAGAGCTGGCCAAGGAGGAGGAAGAACTGGCACGTAATGCAAAGCAACGTGATGCTCTTTCAGAGCGCGGAAACAACGCGCGTGAAGTCGAGCGCACCGAGACTATGCTGAAACGCCAGTTGAACAAATGGATGGAGAGAACAGAGAAGCTCCGTGAGCAGAGCAACCAGAAGGCGAGGGAGGCAAAGGAGAAGATGCATGAGCTCCGGGCAGTGCACAAGCAGCTCACTGAGGAGCAGACTGAGAAGGGCAAGGAGATGGAGGTTCGACGTGTCAGAATCGAGCAGACTGAGAAGAAGGTAAGTCCTCCTGCGACGTTCTTTATGACTGGCAAATTACTAACAGATGCATAGATGCTTGACTTGAAGGAGAATATCGAGAATGAAGTTCACAGCGCGCATGAAGAGTACCGCAAGATGGAGGCACACATCAAGCTGTACATTGCTGAGATGGAGCAGGCTATTGCTTAACTGTATCTTGCGGTGGTTTCTGTGTTTTTGTCATGCTTTATGTTATGGTTGGCGGCAATATTTGGGATACCTTAGATACCATGGGTTGGCGTTGAAGGCTGTAATGATGATATGTTAATGTTGACGCCTAGTATGTCTGCTTTGATCATGGTAAGAACGACGTGATATTCGTTGACTACTGAATACATTGTCTGAGTATATTGTACACTTGACGTTATGGAAAAAAGTTCCTCATAGTAGAGCACCAACCAATTCAACCTTCTTGTTCACGAGTATCAAATTCGAACCATCGACTTAAGACTTGCTTAACACTGACAGTCCGTCCACTCCATGATCCATCGTCTCTTCTCGTTGTGCCATTCAACAGAGGTATCATCTCTCCTCCCATTCGATCCAGAGTATCATGCCCTCCTATCCCTTTTGGCTCAATGATGGCAGCTCTGAACTCATTTCGTGAGGCGGCATCGACTAGGAGCGCAGCTGAGTTGCTTATGCCTTGCGCAGACCATTCACTTGCGTCCCTGTGAAGAGCTAGAAGACCGTAGACCAGAAGTAGAGGTGGTCGAGAAGTAGGCGTATAGTTTGGTGGTGCTGGTATGACTGAATCTTTTGGCGTAAAGACGGAGAGAAAGGCGCGTAGATGTGTGACAGTTGGTGCAAATAGAAATCTAATGTGGCGAGATATGGCTATTTGGAAGAGAGGTGCTTTTATAAGATGATGAGAAGGTTGTGTTTCTGAGTTTCCTGGGTCTTCCTGTTGTAGTTGTTCCTCTTGAAGAGTGAGATGGTGTGTTATGTCCTCGATGAGTGAGCTCTGAAACTCTTCTTTTGACGAGCCAACTATTATTGTCGAAGGATATCTGTGGTAAGATATGATATACGATAGAAGCTCCGAAGGAGTTTGTGGTGAGACGACGATGGGTTGAGACGATGCCATAGTTGTGATGTTGCCATTGAGTTTATCCAGGGTAGCTCACGTCTAGAAGGTTAAGAGAAGAGAGTTGTGAGTTTTGAGCTTGATATCGCATATTCAAAGCTTAATGATATATTTCGTGAAATGACTGTCATATTGACACTTTATCAAGCTTGAATATTGCTCTTATCCTTCAGATCAATATGTTAATATGAAAATGAAGTTGTAATGTCTAAGGTAGGTATCGAGTTGAGCTCCCCACTAGTGGTCACGCCCCTCCACCTCCACAGTCCGCGGCAACCATCACTCAACGTCATCTCAAACACCTACACTAAGCCCCCCCTCAAAAGCTCTCCCTCCTCTCAACGCGGCGTAAGCTCGAAAGCTCACTCACGCAATGGAGTCAATAGCGAGGATCTCGAGTCTCATGGAGACCGGTACGTCTCTTTACTGACCGCTTCATCTGTCGCTAAACTGACTGATCATCCAGCGAGGGAGCTCACCCTCGATGCTGCCCAGGCGACGCGCGGTGCGCGCACGAGTTCAAGACCTTTGGATCGAAACCAGATGAGGAAGTTATTGGATAGTAGGAACGAGCGCGAGGTTCTTGAAGGTCTACGGCGTGTTATGGCGGTGCGTGGTGTTGTTCTCTTGACTGTGTATCTTGGCGCTAATAGTGATGAGGCAGATGATGTACCGAAACCACAAGACTCTACCGTTCTTCTCTTCTGTCGTCAAGAATGTCGCCTCGCCGAATATCGAGATCAAGAAGCTTGTCTACATATACCTCATCCACCATGCCGAACAGGAGCCCGATCTCGCACTCCTCTCCATCAACACTATTCAAAAATCCCTATCCGATCAGAATCCCCAAGTCCGAGCCCTCGCCCTTAAGACCATGTCCGGAATTCGAGTCCCCGTCATCAGCCAGATTGTATCTCTCGCTATCAAGAAGGGTGTCGCCGACATGAGCCCCTACGTGCGGAAAGCAGCTGCCCTTGCGATTCCGAAATGCCATCGATTAGACCCGAGTCAAGCGCCGCAGTTGATCGACTACTTATCGACTTTGCTGGGTGATAAGCAATACTATGTTGCTGGAGCTGCCGTATCAGCTTTTCTCGAGATTTGCCCCGACCGAATAGACCTTATTCATAAGCATTATCGCACGCTGATCAAGCAAGTGGTGGACATGGACGAATGGAGTCAACTGGCTACACTACGACTGATGATGTATTATGCGCGAAAGTGTTTCCCTCGAAAGACAGAGTCGCCAGACGCATCTAGCGAGAATTCCCGGGATCAGCAAGTGGACGACTTCTACGGTGAATCGCGACAAGGTAGTCGAAGTCAGGGGTCTTCAGTGCTTGACCCAGATCTGACATTGCTGCTAAATGGCATCAGACCTTTATTGCAGAGCAGGAATGCTGGTGTTGTTGTGGCTGTCACTAGGTGTTACGTCGACATTGGAACGCCAGAGTACGTAAAGCAGGCTATTGGTCCCTTGATCGCCTTGCTTCGTGGAGCTCAAGATATCCAGGAGACTGCTCTGTTCAATATCGTCTCGGTGTGTCTTCTTCGGCCCACCGATTTCGTCAAATATGCGAGCCATTTCCTGGTTCGAGCCACTGATACTGCCCCTGTATGGGAGTTGAAGTTGGAGATATTGACAATTATCTTCCCTCACAGCCCACCACATGTTAAAAGTCTTATTCTGAAGGAGCTCGAGCACTTCTCGCAAGGAACAAACAAAGCATTGGTTCGCGAGGCGGTGCGTGCTATTGGCCGCTGCGCCCAGACTGATACCTCTGCAGCTCCTCGATGCTTGAAGTTGCTCCTGGGTCAAATTACTAGCTTGGATGGTACCCTTGCTGCCGAGTCACTGACAGTCATTCGTCACCTGATACAACAGGATGTCCAGGGACATGTTGGAACGGTTGTTCGTCTAGCGAAGAACCTCGACTCTGCAACTGACCCCCAGGCTCGTGCTACAATCATCTGGCTTGTGGGCGAATTCTCGGGTCTGAATGGAGAGGACAACATTGCGCCAGATGTTCTTCGCATTTTACTTAAGGAGTTTTCTAATGAATCGCCAGTTGCTAAGCAACAGATTCTGCTCTTGGCGGCCAAGGTTTACCTCCACCACCTCAACCGCAAGAGTGAAGCTGAAAAGGAGAAGGAGGCTGAGGAGGACCCGCCCATGGATACAGATACTCATCCTATTGTGAGGTTATGGGAGTACGTCCTGCTACTTGTGAGATATGACACATCATTCGATCTTCGTGATCGCGCGAGAATGTATCGATCACTTCTTGCAGTTCCCCAGCTGGCGACATTGATGCTCCTTGCTGAGAAGCCCGCACCACAGGCCCCAAGTCCATCAGAATCTCGAAAAGGATTCCTATTGGGGTCTTCCACATTGGTGCTTGCAGGTGGCGGTGGTATTCATGGTCTTCGGGGCTATGAACCCTTACCTGACTGGGTCGAGGAAGGAAAACAACCTGATCGCCGACTTCGAGAACCTGAAGGCAGTCAAAGTTCTAGGTACGACGTCGAAAGAAGTACACTACCTGCTAGTGAGAGACTCGACGAGGCAGCCAAGACAGTCATGCCTAGCAAGTCAAACGGCACAGGGACAGTCACGGGTGAAGCAGTGGGTGCTAAGACTTTGGATGACTGGCTTGCAGAAGAAGAGCAAGAAAGCGAGGAGACTGAAGAAGAGACTGAAGAGGAATCATCAGAGGAAGAAGAAGACGATGACGAGGATGATGATGATGACGAGGAAGAAGAGACGGACAGCGACGACGATGGGGAAGCCGATAGACTGGTCAAATCCTAATATCGATAGAAAGCATTATCAAGACACGCTCAACTTGGACTCATCCGAGTCTACAAGATCTGATCTAATATCGTTCCAACACCTCGCGCCCTAGTTCAAACAAGACCAAACAGCAAATACCCCTTCCTATAACTTATCATAATCTATTCCATATCCCTCTAAGCAGTCTGGGAGTTTTCAACTTTTTGTTCCTCGCTGGAAGACTCGGCAGGTGTCTCGGCCTCAGTCTTCTTGGTGCGCTGCATAGTGACAGCCATCTGAGGGAAGAAAATTCCAGGATGGAAGGCCGTCAATAGGAAACCAGTGACGAGAACAAGAGAACTATCAAGGACGAGGAAGCTAGGCTCATCCTGCATGATATGGTTACCCCAACCACCAGCCATTTCGGCAATTCTATAATTTCTCGCGTCAGCTGATGTAAGAAGATAGGGTAAAGAAGGATTTGCACTGACCGGTAAATGCAACGAGTGAGAATGGCGAAATAGGCGCCTGAAACAGCAAAGCCAAACATGCGGAACTTCTTATCCTGCCAGACTCGCAGCGACTCATGGGCAGCCTCTGAACTATGGAGGTACTTCTTCACGCGCAAGTAGTAATCAGTGCCCATAGCTCCAAAAGCGAGGAGCACGATGACTTGGAGGACAACACCGGCAATGATGGTCCTGTTACCGTTTCTAGCGAGCTCGGGCTGGTTGCGCTTGGCTGCTGCTGCGACACCGCCGCCGATGGCTTGGATGATGAGACATGAGAGATCGGCGGGGAGGAAGATTCTCGGATACCATCGAGGATGAATTCGTGAGAGATCTGGGCTGAGTGCGAGGGCGACGTGTTTGAGGGTGAGGTAGATGGCGGCACAGATGAAGGTCGGGGCGATGATGATACAGCAGATTTGGGTCTGGAAGGCTGATGAGTTCCATGGGTTTGGGTCCATTTGAATACGGCCGATATATCCTGTATCTGTTAGTATTTCATCGTCCTTTTTCTTCCTTTTGACGAGTTGTGTTGAGTTGGTAGAACATACCAATAGTCTCAAGCAGTAAACCAGCTCCCAGCGTCGCAGCATATGTCCATGTCTTTTTCCAAACACCCAACCCTACAGAGGACAGGAATAGAATCGCGAAACAAACAGTAAAGAAGATACTGGATCCTTTGTTGGGAACATAACCGAGGACAGTTGCGCTGACGGGACAGAGGGCGGTGATATCGGTGCAGTCGTCGAAACTCGCCGGTCGACGAGCGTATAATTCGTACATTTTGAAGCTATCTCAGCGTCGTACTCGATATGTAAGGGTGGGAAAATGTCAAGTAAGTAAAGAGAGAGCGGTGATTGTCACTGGTATTCGCCTCTTGGTCTGTGTATGATGACTTATGGATTCGTTTCAAACGTCCCGCTTGTATGAAAGGATCCTTGTTTCATGAAGAAACACAAAAGAAGATGAAAAGAGAAGAAGAAGAGAGGAAGAAAAGAGTGAGGAAGGTGTAAAGATAGGCCGAGTATGATTACGGTCCACGCATACAAGATCCATCGTTGCTGACTCGATCCATTCATTTTTCATTACAACCCAATTCCTCCGGATTTTACGGGACCAACACCCGGACTTCGGGACATTACCATACCTGAGAGCACTGAAAAAGGACAGAGAAAGTGGTTAATTCATAGGTTAAATTCAAGTGACTAGATCATTAGCAGTTTATGATGCGAATGCCAAGGCCCGGTTATGTCTATTCCCGGGTGCAGATCCGCTAATTTCAACGTTGAAAATGCTTGTTTAGCTCGCGTTTCTCGCTTTTCTCGCGTCGACTTCGGGTTCTGCAGCTCGCTTACAGGGCATTTCCACTTCTGGAACATGTCCGTGTTGGTTTATGGAGGTGTATTACACTTGGCGGCCGACCCTTTTACTGTACACAAGAAAGATAAGATCCGTAGCGTCGGGTTGAACCTGATCCGTTTTTTTATTGTTGTGGGACTTCGGATCGTTTTATGCTACCGATCCGTTTTTGAAGGTGTAGTTAATGTTTCATGATGGGATCTAGATCTGATGATACCTTACAAGCTTTATCTCTACTGTAACACTGCGCCCTTTTAGTGAGTATCACATGTCACAAGTCGCAGTATTGCCGATGTATTCTTTCTCGTTCTATACTTTTATTTACATCATGGTCGAGTTGACAACAGCAGCTTATACGA